AACTCCAAGTAGATATGGTCACAAAGAGTACCTCTGTAAAGTGAACAGCATTGTCTTCACCTGTTTCAGCACCAGGGCCACTATCTTCATTTGGGGTACTGTCCTCCAGGACAACACTTGCACCCTCTGGAGTACTGTCTTCCAAGACAGCCCCTTCCAACTCACCCATTTTATTTTCCCAGCTGTCATACTAGGCTGACATGTCTTTCAAGAAGGATATTTTATTGGTGTTCTTGTCTTTAAATATAGATGTAATTTCCTCATACAGGTGTATCTCGTTTGGGCAGACCGAGTAACATTTCTCTGATTTTATATCAAACGTGGTCGCTTGTTTCAAGTTCTTGCACGACCCATGGGACCATTTACCAAAGAGATTACCTGGAGAGAGTTCCGGGGGTCAACGCCCCTGCGGCCCGGTCTGTGACCAGGCCTCCTGGTGGATCAGAGCCTGATCAACCAGGCTGTTGCTGCTGGCTGCACGCAAACCAACGTACGAGCCACAGCCCGGCTGGTCAGGAACCGACTTTAGGTGCTTGTCCAGTGCCAGCTTGAAGACTGCCAGGGGTCTGTTGGTAATCCCCCTTATGTATGCTGGGAGGCAGTTGAACAGTCTCGGGCCCCTGACACTTATTGTATGGTCTCTTAACATGCTAGTGACACCCCTGCTTTTCATTGGGGGGATGTTGCATCGTCTGCCAAGTCTTTTGCTTTCGTAGTGAGTGATTTTCGTGTGCAAGTTCGGTACTAGTCCCTCTAGGATTTTCCAGGTGTATATAATCATGTATCTCTCCCACCTGCGTTCCAGGGAATACAGGTTCAGGAACCTCAAGCGCTCCCAGTAATTGATGTGTTTTATCTCCGTTATGCGCGCCGTGAAGGTTCTCTGTACATTTTCTAGGTCAGCAATTTCACCTGCCTTGAAAGGTGCTGTTAGTGTGCAGCAATATTCCAGCCTAGAGAGAACAATCCATACAATCCAGACATAACTTCGTTTGTTACCCTTTCTGCAGACTACGCAGATTTTCATGGTCATTTACAACACTTTACAACTCTCCTAACTAGCTAGTCTATAACTACTAAAAGTATTTAGTAGTCTAACAGTTCTTCTGGGTAGGCTGGATAGGATAGGCTTCTCTGAGCATATGCTGAACTTTCCTAAAGACTGATGGACTGAACACATCGACTCGAGGGTAATGGACTGATTGCCTCATTGTCCTCATGTTTCACCGTTCTTCTCTATATTGGACTGAAGAAGCCACTGGCTGGTGAAATGTTTCCTTAGTAAAGATTCCCAAATGTTGCACAAGTGTAATATTTTTAAATTTGTTGGTTTTGTAAAACATTACATCATATGGGCATACTATCACTGGCTTCTGTATAGAGGGGATGAATAAATTGTGTGGGCTATGGAGTACTGTGAATTTAGAGGCGCTGTTATTTAAAAAAATTGGCTTTAATGGTATTAGGTCTGAAGCCTTTATTAGTATATTTTAAAACAATCTGTGTTCAATTTGTTGATACACCTCAGTCTACTAAATTACAGCGTAATACCGCAATTGGGTAGTATGAATTCAAACAATTTGGCACTCTTCTTGCTTCTTGGTATGCCACGTTATCAATATTAGTACTATGTTGAAACGATCTACCTTTTTTTTGGCCATACCTCTGGGCTTTTAGTTGCTGCCAGAGCTTTTTTTTGGATTGGTTTTGTCTTTCATTATTATTATTATTATTATTATTATTATTATTAAAGGTTTTGTCTTTCAGTTTTGAAACTGTTTACCTGGAGTTTACCTGGAGAGAGTTTCGGGGGTCAATGCCCCCGCGGCCCGGTCTGTGACCAGGCCTCCTGGTGGATCAGCCCCTGATCAACCAGGCTGTTGCTGCTGGCTGCACGCAAACCAACGTACGAGCCACAGCCCGGCTGATCAGGAACTGACTTTAGGTGCTTGTCCAGTGCCAGCTTGAAGACTGCCAGGGGTCTGTTGGTAATCCCCCTTATGTGTGCTGGGAGGCAGTTGAACAGTCTCGGGCCCCTGACACTTATTGTATGGTCTCTTAACGTGCTAGTGACACCCCTGCTTTTCATTGGGGGGATGGTGCATCGTCTGCCAAGTCTTTTGCTTTCGTAGTGAGTGATTTTCGTGTGCAAGTTCGGTACTAGTCCCTCTAGGATTTTCCAGGTGTATATAATCATGTATCTCTCCCTCCTGCGTTCCAGGGAATACAGGTTTAGAAACCTCAAGCGCTCCCAGTAATTGAGGTGTTTTATCTCCGTTATGCGCGCCGTGAAAGTTCTCTGTACATTTTCTAGGTCGGCAATTTCACCTGCCTTGAAAGGTGCTGTTAGAGTGCAGCAATATTCCAGCCTAGATAGAACAAGTGACCTGAAGAGTGTCATCATGGGCTTGGCCTCCCTAGTTTTGAAGGTTCTCATTATCCATCCTGTCATTTTTCTAGCAGATGCGATTGATACAATGTTATGGTCCTTGAAGTGAGATCCTCCGACATAATCACTCCCAGGTCTTTGACGTTGGTGTTTCGCTCTATTTTGTGGCCAGAATTTGTTTTGTACTCTGATGAAGATTTAATTTCCTCATGTTTACCATATCTGAGTAATTGAAATTTCTCATCGTTGAACTTCATATTGTTTTCTGCAGCCCACTGAAAGATTTGGTTGATGTCCGCCTGGAGCCTTGCAGTGTCTGCAATGGAAGACACTGTCATGCAGATTCGGGTGTCATCTGCAAAGGAAGACACGGTGCTGTGGCTGACATCCTTGTCTATGTCGGATATGAGGATGAGGAACAAGATGGGAGCGAGTACTGTGCCTTGTGGAACAGAGCTTTTCACCGTAGCTGCCTCGGACTTTACTCTGTAGTGCTTTTCTTTGCATTTTTTTTTTTTTTACATCCATCCGCAATTTGTTTCTTGCCATGTTAAAAGGGACATTTGTGTACAGTTCAGATTATATATATATATAATATATAATATATATATATATATATATATATATATATATATATATATATATATATATATATATATATATATAAACGTTTTGCCACGAATGGCTTTATGAGTCTTATTACGTTAGAGTCAATATGAAAATGGTATACAATACCGAAATGTTGATAATTAAGACGAGACAACTCTTCTGGTTCTACAAGGGACAACACATCACAAAGTTACAATGAAGCGAAGGGCTGCTGCACCAAATTTAAAGGTCCAGAAGGTCAACACAGACACAAACATCTCTACGACATTCCCCATGTCCGACTAAACCTTTACAAATTCAATGTATGTCAAAGGCCCTAAAATCTGGAACACCCTACCTGAGAACTCTAGAACTGCAGACACATTCATCACCTTCAAAACTACCATTAGAAAACATCTTATCTCCCTGATACACCCCATCAACTAACTACACGAATACCACCTGGTGGTTCACACTTATACTCACTCACTCATTTGACCATGAACAGAAATATTAATCTCAACTTAAAATAATGAATCCTGTGATACTCCAATACTGAAACTATGTACTGTGCCAAAACAAAAGCATTCACATTGCTAAACTCACAAACTAGTATTTAGTCACTTAGCCATAATACCAACTTACCTCATAAGTTGTAATATTTTAAAATAAAGAATTAAACTAAGTCTGCCCGAAATGCCTAGCCATGCTAGGCGTTCTAGTGGTACACTCTGTAATCATTATTTAACTACATGTAAACCACACAACAACCAAATTCTGTAAATTCAACATTGTAATCTTTATAGAGAATAAACTTTGAATTTGAATTTGAAAAAGATCAACAAATAGAGGAGCTTATCGCCATGCTACAACTTCGCTTCAGTGGGACTCCTGACCCTTGGATCGTGAAAAAAGTGAACACTTACTGCAAGTTCCTGAGAGAAGCTGTTAGATATCTTTATTCAGAAACGTTTCGCCTACACAGTAGGCGTCTTCAGTCAAGTACAGAGGAGTATGCAGCAGTAGAGATGTGAAGACGATATCAGTCCATCACCCTTGAAGACGTAGCTTTGAGGTAGTCAGTCCCTCAGCCAGAGTTTTGTTCCATAGTCTGGAACAATCAGAGATGGACTGATTACATCGTCTTCACATCTCTACTACTTCTGCATACTCCTCTGTGCTCGACTGAAGAAGCCTACTGTGTAGGCGAAACGTTTCGAAATAAAGATCCCTAACAGTTGCACACGTGTCTTACAGCTGATGAAACCACTCGTGGCGAAACATTATTAATAGTTTTAAATTGAGTAAGTTTATTTAGGCACATGTACACAAGTACAATTATCAGTGTAAATTACCTAGGATAACCCAAAAGAGTCAGAACAAGCGACTTATTTCCATTGTATACAAGTGTCCTCTTCCAGTGTGTCTGTATGACCATAATATTTACACCCTCACTATTAACTTCATGGTGTGCTGCAACATCTTCCAGATTTACTTTAAACCTCACCAATAGATGTTTAAGGTAAATTGTCTATCTCCATAATAGTTACGTAATAAATGGTCAGTTATTTTGGCTGGGAATTACGTTATTCAGGATTGTTTGTTGATAGTTTGTAACTGCTTGGTTTAGTTTGTCATTAAGGCTGCACATAGTCTTCACCCTCCGTCAAGAATACTTTAATGCCTCTAACACAAATTAAGTACTGAGACATAACTCTTGGTGTATGTATCCTCACAGCTACTTAAGAGTTTGTTTATATCTTGTACATAACCCATTATCGGTACGAACAAATAATGGTGATTTTATTAAAAGTAGGATTTATAAAGATAAAGAAATATCAGTAGATTTGACGAGAGTCGTGATAAGTTAGGTAGTGTAAGTAGCCATGTTCTTGTTACCGTAGTGTTTCATGAAGTGTCTCAGCTGCGCATGCGCTAAGTAGACGCCATTTTCGTTCTGATCTGTGAGAGAGAGTGAGTAAAACAATTAGTATTTGTGCTTTATTTCGACTTATTATTGATCGGACTGAATTTTTCTTCAGATATATTATAATTAAATAGTTGAACTACTGGAAAATACCCTGGGACAGCATAAGAGAAAAACGACAAGGATAGAAATATTGACGTGTGGTTGTGTTTTGGCTTAGTGGGGAGGACTTGGGAGGGGGTGGCCCGTCAATTTTAGCTGTATAACTCCTGCAGGGGGTCGAGAGACGCGGTAAGGAGATAATATGAACTTCTTCTTTGCCAGGTACTAGGCGAGGTGGTCGCCTGAGTGCTGAATATCATGTTTTTTCAGCCTGTGGGGAGGAGTTCTGCGATAAGGTAGGGCACAAATGGAAGCCCTCGAAACGATTTCCTGTTTAGTGTACCATTTTGATATTTCTCACGATATGAAACCCTTCTTTATTGATCACAGTTACGTCCTTGTGATCACACACACTGGCACAATGACAGAGTTTCACTTGCTTGAAGGTGAGCTGCTCATTTTCTTGGTGACAGGTGATGGTCTGTCAGTGTGTCAGTCCCCTCACTTTCAGCAGGTTATATACACAAACTCCACAGTTTTCTGATTTATAATTTGCAAAAAACATTGACCAGCATATATTTACCATAGTAAATGTAAATGAGATGAGGTCAGTGTAGTGATAGTTGGTGTGGTGGCAGTAAGCCTGTGTAAGGTGGCAGTCAGCTGGTGCATATAATTTCTTTATGTAGGACAAATAATGTAGTTTACATGTAATAAAACATTGGTAGGCATAAAAGAAAACCACTAATTATGCACTGCACTTCAGGCACACTAATCCTGTTTCTTAAATGTTAAAGATTTAGACTATTAAGGACAATTAACTACAGTCATAAGTTTTTGATTGTAATAATATAATCATAAGTACAGTAAGACCGGTAGCTAATGAACAGTCATTTACAAAGTATTACACATTTCATATTGATTCATTGATTTTCTGTTTGGCAGATTGATTGAATAGATTCAGATACAGCAAATTACATGGTTGCCATTTACTCATATCTTCATTTAAACACACTTGTTGGTGTTGCTGTTACTTGTTATTGGTTATGGGTATTGCCTTGAGGAAATTGCATCCTAATTCTTAGTAATAGCATGGTATTCTAAGGCTTTCATAACTACATACTTCTGCATGTTAATTGTCATTAACATCCTTATGAATTGTAAATTACAAGTTGAAGGGGTTTTGGGTGTTTTAGTAAACGAGTCTTATGTACGTATATGTACCTAACTTGTATACAGTATATATTACTCTTGTGAAATGAGTAATAAGCAGTTCTACCTTGTTTGATACTTCAAAGTACTACAGTACTGTAGGGATTTTGTGTGGTTATCATTAACCTGTCATTTAAATTAATTTACTAGTGATAATTTTACTATCGTATTTTTTTATTTTAGAGGCATTTACTGGGTTATTGTATTTTAAATCTAAATGTAATACATATGTATAGCCTTAACATAAGAACCATTGTACAAATACATACTACTGTTTGTAATTACACTTGAAGATTACCCTAATAAAATTAATATTAGCATGAATTATGGTACCATCACATCCAAATTTGACATTACACTTGTTAATATCAGAAATGAGAACAATTTTAATTTTTATAGCAGCTCGATACTTTGTTAAAATGAAATTCTGTTCCAAAACATTGTATGATTGGATATACAGTAGTTCAGATTATAGAAGAGTTGTGGATATACAGTAGTTCAGATTATGGAAGAGTTGTTCGGTTTTGGCGTGTGGTTATTGCAATGGGCAACAAGATAACTGCTGGTGTTTGTTGCTGTATGATCCATACAGGTTTAGCACATTTTTCTTTTAATAAAAATACTGATGTTTTTCTTCACATTATAGGAACAAGAATGGAAGAACACTGCATCAAGCCTACTGGCAGTTTGCTTAAAAGTTTTTCACTGTTCATTTCTTGCACACTTCTTTCTTGGGGTAGTGTTTGTTGGTAAAAACCTGTTAGATGTTGGCTCATGATTGCTACATACCTGTACCTGTGATATGCTCATGACTGATTTTGGGGGTTCCACTGTCACAGCACAGCCTAAGGCAATGCTTTCGTGATTGCTTTGCTAACCAGGCTGTTGCTGTTAGTGACCCACACACCTACAAGGCCATCACAGACTGGATGATCTGGCACATAGTATATACACATAGGTTATGTCTCCATGAGTGTTTACCTAGAGTTTACCTGGAGAGTGTACACAATGAGTTTACTTTCATCCCTATTTTAATGATAAAAATATTTTTGATCTGGTTATGTGCAGCCTTAATGACCCTTGGTGGTTTATTAATCACACCGCTTTGATGTTGGCTATTCGGCATTTGTTCAGTTTAATTGGTTGTCTTACCTAATATAGAAGACACAGTTTTATCATTAACTTAAGGAGTGTTAATGTTGCAGTTTTATAACTGTAGTGTAAGTGTGCTTCTGGCAAGACAGTGTTTGAGTGAATGATGAAAGTTTTCCTTTTTTGGGCCACCCTACCTTGATGAGAAACAGCCGATGTGTTAATAAAAAAAATACATAATTGTTTGCCAGAGATGTGGGGTTTTTGGGTCATTAAATTTTTGGATCTGGGGTTGCCCAGTCTTTATCTGTGTTGGATGTTTGCTTCATTTATATTATCATTTGGCATTATTGGGTTATCCTAGGTTAACTCTTTAAAAGCTATCAAAATTGTATTCATAATGCAAACTTTGCATAGATTTAAAGCAGCAGCCTGTAAATACTTATGTAAATTTATCTTGAGTAAAGCTTACTATTGTTGATATGAAAATTCTTGAGAGCAGTTTTATATAAATTGTTGCTTGAAATGCTGACTGTACCTACACTAGGCTCTACAATTGCATTTATGTACATATAGCACCATTAAAGGGTACACAGTCTTTTTAACTTGTATCAAACTGTTGTGGAATAGTTTTATAGTTGCATAATTTTTTAACCAGCAAACCTTATTTTGCTCTAAGTTTTATTGATTTGTTCAGTGTGTCCATATAAATTCATGTGTATTTACAAATTACATACTGTTAATAGTGTCAGTGTCTGGTAAAACTATTTAAAGTCCATCTCATAACAAATGGACTATTTTGCTATCATTTGCTACTGACAATATACATAGTTTACGTAGCCACATTAATGTGCTAAATCAGGTGCTAAAGTGTTATGTTGTTTTTGTTTTAATTTTTATATTTAGTAGCTACTTCATTTTTAGCTTTAAAATAATTATCTTAGTTCATATATTCATATTTGTTAGTGGTTAACAGTAAATGTTTTTTATTTTTTTTTGATAATTGCAATAGCTCATTTCTCTACGTGCCTCTTATGAATGCAAATATCGATCCTGTTATCAGCCTCTTATTGAACTGCACAAATAATCCTAACAGTAATTGCCATTACTACACCGCTAGTCAGGCTAAAACTCTACTCAGTGCCAGCAAGATCATTACAGTTTTCAACTATAATGTTAGATCACTATGATGACATCCTTGCATTACTGAAGTCTCTAAATGCTAGTATAACTCATTATTCTTGCTGAAACCTGGCTTAAACAAAATTTGACAGATATTTGCCATACCTGGTAACATAGCCATACATAACTGCAGGCCTGACCAGCTAGGAGGAGGCACTGCCATTTACTAGTCTGATGAACTTGAATGCATGAAATTTACTTGCACAAGGGATGACAATGGTGATAAAATAGCTAAATTCACTTAAAAGAAAAATTAAAAAGCCTATAACCTGGAAAATCCTAGGGGGACTAGTACTGAACTTGCACACGAAAATCACTCTCAACGAAAGCAAAAGATTCGGCAGACGATGCAACATCCCCCCCCCAATGAAAAGCAGGGGTGTCACTAGCATGTTAGGAGACAATACAGTAAGTGTCAGGGGCCCGAGACTGTTCAACTGCCTCCCAGCATACATAAGGGGGATTACCAATAGACCCCTGGCTGTCTTCAAGCAGGCACTGGACAAGCACCTAAAGTCGGTACCTGACCAGCCGGGCTGTGGCTCGTACGTTGGATTGCGTGCAGCCAGTAGTAACAGCCTGGTTGATCAGGCTCTGACCCACCAGGCCGCCTGGTCACAGACCGGGCCGCAGGGGCGTTGAACCCCGGAACTCCAGGCAAACTCCAGGTACAGATTACCACACACAAATACTTTTAGTGGTAACCTTAGAAACATGATAACCGACTCAGTTGAACAAACACCACCTGATACTTACAGAGACTTCAACATAACCCTCATCCAAGCAACTGACCCTCCAGTAACTAATTTCACAAACACCATGAACTGTTTGCTATTACCTTCTGTAACTAAGCCAACAAGAATCTGAGAAAAGTGCCTCATTACTTGACCATATCTGGACCAACACATCTCCACTACAAGCAGGTATAATCACAAACAACACAACAGACCACTACCCCACCTTTCTCATAACCGACTTGTGTAAATTGCCTCAAGACTTGAGAAAGATCTCATTTTTCCTGCATGACTAGTCATCGGTAATTAATTTAATATTAGCATTAGGTGACATTGGCAGAGAGAGTTAGCTGACAGCAATAATGTTGACTTGGCAAACCCTCTCCAAAATTTTGGGCTCTAGAAAACTGTCTAGAAACAGAGAGGTAAACTTAACTAAACCAGATGAACCTCACATACAGCTTATAGACATGGCCAACAAATTTAATGTCTTCTCTACCGTAGGATCAAAGCTCGCAAGCAAAATTCCTAGCTCTAATACCCAGCCAAACTACCTCACTGGCAACTACTCGGATACAGTGGAACCTCGTTTTTCAGCCATAATCCGTTCCAGGTCAGCCTAAATTTGCAATGGCCTAAATTCGAAACAATATTTCCCACAGGAATTACTGTAAATACAATTAATCCATTCCAGACAACTAAAAATATTCACATACACAAAACAATGAGAACTAAATAAAATAAATTAAGAACATTTAAATCACTATTACATACCTTTATTGAAGACTTTTGTTGGCTTATGGAAGACAGGGAAGAGGAGAGAGGGAGGGCAGATTATTGTTTGGAAGGGGAATCTCCCTGCATAAGGACTTTAGGTATCAAAGCCCCCTCTGGGGTTACTTCCCTTCTTTGTCTTCTAATGCCACTAGGACCAGCTCAAGTCACTGGACCCCTGTTGCACAAAATAAC